GCTCCTCCGCGGGGCTGCGGGGGGACTGTCCCCGCTGGCAGCTGGAGCGCTGGGGCAGGGGGCGCTCCGCGGGGTCTGCCAAAGCCGGGGGCAGCACCCGGGTCTCCTGGAAGCCAGTGCAGGGTCTCAGCAGCTTCGCGCCGCTCCGGGAGGGCGGGGAGATGTTCTGAGGCTGAACTCAGCCTTTTCTTCCTTGGCCGGACAGTGACTTCTCTTCCTCAGTCTCAACTTTTGAGCTGCCCTTTGCTTTTGTTCCGCTCTTCATCTGTTTCTGCTGGAAAGCTCTTGTGTGCAAAGCTTGTCACGAGCTGGAACTAGCTACTTACTACTAGGAGCAGACAAAAAGTTTAATTATTAAATTATTGTTATTTGTATTATTAAATACAAACGTCCTTGGAATTATGAACTGGATAGCGTTGCAATGCGGGCCATCTTCAGAGGGAAGCCTCCATCCTGTGCTCTTTGAGGTCTGTCACGCGCAGGCAGCAACTGAATTAAAAGCAGGAGTTTGTGGGAGCTGTTTGGACTGCACGTGGTTAACCTTAACGATAATTATTCCGTGTGCTCGTGGTAGGAGAATATCTCACAAGTGCCTTAAGTCCTCCTTCGTGTCTTAGCTGCAGAGTTACAGAATCTGTCTTAAAGCCACACAAGTGGTCACATTTAATAGTATGGGGCCCTTTTAGCCCTGTTTTCGTGTCTAAACTCGGTGTGATCGTGTAAGCACCGTCTTCGTTTGTAATAACGCTTTTATTGCTCCACCTGAAATAATAGAAAGGAGAGGGAGAAGCGTAACAGTTTTCAACTATATGATCTTTTCTGCTAATGCTTTGCTTTTTTAGGTGGAATTACTTTTTCCTGTATGATGGTTCAAAGGTTAAGGAAGAAGGAGATCCTACGAGTGCTGGGATTTGTTATTTTTATCCTTCCCAGGTAATGTCTGCTTTTATTTTGGTGCCTGTAAGGGAATACCTGTGTTGTGAGTCAGTGGTGATAATTCTGGTTCAGGAATGGTCAGGCTTCCAGGTGGAGCTTTGGATTAATTCTTACTTAGTACTCACAAAAGTTTTAAGAGAACTCTTGCTACTAGAACCAGGCGGAGCGGAGTGCTGCTCCACCGGGCTCGGCGCACAGAGACCCTCGGGCTTCTGCGGCTGGGCACGGCGGGGGTGCTGCTCCGTGGAGTTGTCCAGCAGGTGATGTGAATAAATACACACCAGGGATGAAGGTGCCCCTGAAGAAGCTCTACGCCCTTGTGCTGCCTGGAAAAAAGCAGTCCAATTATTTTTACCCCCAAGCAATTTGCCTCTGCTAACTGCATTTGATTTATAGTTGAGTTGAACTTATAATGAATTTTTATTTATGCCTGAATACAGTACTGTTTTTCAAGTCCTTTTAAAAGGAAAAAAAAACAAACAACATTCTTTCTTCCCTGCTTTCCTTGACAGACTCTCCCCGACCAGCAGGAACTGCTGTGTGGACAGATTGCCGGAGTGGTGCACTGCATGACTGAGATTTCTGGAGCTCCTCCAAGCCTCATTCGCCTGAGGAAGCTCAAGTTTGCAGTTGTAGTGGATGGAGAATTTCTGTGGGTGAGTTCAGGAGATCTGGAGGCAGTTGCAGAGTGAAAACAGTGAGGGAATCTCAACTACTGTATCAGAGAGCTTTTTTTTTTTTTTTTCCAGGCTACGGGCTGCACACAGGTAGACCTGGGGAGAGCTGGGGTGGGAACTTGCAATGCACAGCTTTTCATTGCAAGGTAACTGAAGTTTTGTTTACCACAGCCTACAACCGTGTGTCGTGGAAGTCACTTGGGCTGTTGTGTAAAAAAGCTTCACGTATCTCCTCTGTGCTTCCACACCCAACATGTTTTCTTAAGACGTGCCTGGCAGTGGCTGCGAAGCACCGAGCTCTGCAGCGTCACGTGTGTCCGTGGGTTACTGGCAGGGACTGGAAGCAGGATTCTGCCTGCTGCAGGTCATAATAAGGACTCAGTCTCCCTGTTTGATAGTCTGATTGCTCTTTGCTTCTAACCTCCTGCTGCAGAGCTTTGTCAGTGGCAACAGACATTTAGTACACAAGAGCAGAGTCCTGACAAAAATGCCCCAAACCATCCCCTGGAAGTGGGCTGAGACCAGTCAGACCTGCTGAATTGGCTGTTCAGGCGCTCCCTGAGGCGCGAGGCCTGATGCTTCTGTTTCTCTCTCGGCAACTCAGAAATTCAATGAGGCATCGTTGTTGCTGTAAATAATAAGTGAATTTGAATATTTTTAAGTCCTTAGTTTCAGTAAAACATTCTCAGCTATTAGAGCACCGAGCTAGGTCATCTAATGTGGGAAGGAAGTGTGTCTAAAACACTGGATTTCTGATATCATTTATTTATCCTGTCTGTGCCAGGGCTCTTCTGTGGGTAGTTTTGAATTTCCTTTTCATGTGACTTGTGAATCTGGGGGATGTTTGCCTGCCGCAGAGCTGCTTGTACGCCTTTGATACTCATTTGAAAGTGCTAAGAGTTGTTCTCACCTGCTGTGCCTGGGTTTTTTCAGTAAACATTCCTCATTTATGGCTTTCTGTATTAAAGGTTCTGGGCTGTGCTGTTGAGCTCCCTGATGTCAGCTGTAGGCGGTTTCTGGAGCAGCTGATCAGCCTCTTCACCTTCTACAATGGACCTGTGCACCGTGCGTACATGGTAATGAAAGATCAACAGCCAGGGGGTCTCTAGGAAGAGATTTTAAACAATTCCCACCTTGGCCGAGCTCTGCCCAGGCCCACCCACGCTGGGACGTTCCCTTACATCACCTTCCCACTAAGGGTCAGAGCAAGCCCACGTATCAAAGAGCTGCAAGCTGGAAAAGTGTCCAGGCCCATCCTCCCGTTGCGCCGAGGGAGTGAGGGTCTCTTCTGAGCGTTTCCTAGATGTTCAGGCTAAAGCAGTTTCCTCTCGATGATGTTTTCCTCCTTATCCCTCTCAAGACTTGTCACTTAGAGGGGCTGTCCCAGACTAAGCGCATCTGACAGCCCGGATCCCTTGAGGCCTGTGCAGTGACAGCCCTGTGGATTTTTGTTGTCTGCAGGCGTTTTCTCGGGAGGAGCTGAGCGGGCAGTGGGACAGATACATTGATCATATCCAAAAAAACACCAGTGACCTCCACAGGATTTTCAATTCTCTCTGGAATCTGGACAAAACCAAGGTAAAAGCCTGACCTCTGCAGTGTCTGGCGCTAGAGCTACCTTAGTGCTGGTGGTTTTGTGTTTATTTGCTGCTTTGAGTGTTTCCCAGGATTCTGTGGCCTAACCTCTTGTGGTTCCCCCTGTCTAGGTGGACCCCCTGCTTTTGCTGAAAGCAGCTCTCATCTTGCAAACTTGCCAGCGCTCTCCCCACATCTTGGCAGGCTGCATTCTCTACAAAGGCTTGTAAGTAACCAGGAGTCACCTACAGGGTGAACCTGCACCCTAAATCCACCTTCAGTCCCGGGGCTGTGATCCTGGGAGCAGAGCAAGGGCGCTGGCTGGACACCCAGGGCTGCTGCTTGTTCCTGGCAGGAACACGAGTGCTTCAGGCAAGGGAATCCCTGTCTGCTCACGTATTTCAGAGAGGAGGAATGGTTATTTGTGTTTATCAGTAGGAGGAATGGAAGCATGAAGAAATTCAAGGTTGGGTTTAGTAGTAATCAGCTGTCTTGGATACTTAGCAGGACCTGAAGACTGAACTTCTTAGACTTTTTAGGTGGAAGTCACCAACAGAAAGAAAGATGTGTGAAGATTATTCTTTCCCATTAGTGTTCTCTTGGCAGCCTTGCAAAGAGAGTGCACGTGTGTGTGTCTGTGTGTATTTTTGACTGAGTTGTTGGCCAGGACCACTGTCTGTACTGGTAGGAAGCGTGCAGAAGAATGAGCCAGAAATTCCCCTGAGAAACGCTGGTTTCTTCCAACCAAAGGTGATGATGCTGCGGATGATGAGGAAAGCCTCAAAGGTGGCCTTGAGCCACAGGAGCTGGGGGATTTTGAGAATTTCATGGCAATAACATTCAAGCACTGTTTCTTTTGGCATAAAGTGTTCCTGTAACACTTTTACAAGCACATTGGAATGATGCTACGGCGTGTGCCAGTCTGACAGAGCCAGAGCAGGCATTTCTGAGGCAGTGATCTCATAGTTGCAAGCAGGACACTGAGCACAAGTCCCTGCAGCACCTTAAAGCTGGCGGCAGGTTGCAGTGGAGGTGGATGTCTGGCTCAAGAGCGGAGTCTTGTCCTGCCTCTGCCCAGCACCAGCGTGTGTGTGTCTCATTATATCACTGGTCTGGTAGAGATTTTTTTTTTTTTTCACCAAACATCATCAGAGTCCTCTGAACTCTGAATCTTACTACAGCCCTGCAAAGGGCTTTGTACTTGAGTTAAACTTCCCCGTCTTTAGAGTCTTCTGGAGGTTCTCCAGAAGGTGGGTCTCAACCAGACGTAGATGGAAGGACAGGGAATACCTGTGGCAGCCCCATCCAAGGGCCACAGTACTTTGTGTGCTCGTCTTTCCCAATCTTCTCCACTGCCCACAGCAATTCACGGGGTGGCAGGAAGCCTCTATGGATTGGTCTGTCTTGACTCAGCAAAACCAGATTTGTTGGCCCAAAGTAAACACCAGCAGGTGGTTTTCCTGAGAGTGGAACCGACCCAAGAAAGTGAGAGTCCTGGTGATCACTCAGCTTGTGTTCCTGGTGGGGGGGTGTTAGCTCCGGCCCGTGTCTGGGGCTGGCCCTTCACCCCTTGCAGCCCGACTGGGAGAGGTGGGTGCTGTGGAACCTTCGAGGCCCCCCTGAGGTGCCCAGCTGTGGAGCGGGGCCCTCCAGCACCCTCAGATTATCTCAGGGTACCAGTACCAGCCTGGTGTGGGCGCTGCTGCTGGCTCTGCCTGTCTGCGGGAGATGCCAGGCTGCTCGTGGGTGACTTTCTTCTGTCCCTGCAGGATCGTGAGCACCCAGCTGCCTCCCCCTCTCACTGCCAAAGTTCTCCTCCAAGGCACTGAGTCTCCAGGCCAGGTACGTTGCCAAACACCTTCCCTGCATGCAGATACCCCGCAAGGGACACGGCGTGGGAGCTCTCCCTCTCCTCACTTAGATCTTACATGTGCTGGGAAGGACAAATACTGATGCTAAATGTTTTTATTAGTTACAGTTGAGTAAGGGTGTGAGACTCCTGCACTAGGAATTTGGTTTTTTTTCAGTATTAAGTTACTGAATCCATGAGTTCTAATTTACCTGATGTTTTGATTAGCTTTTTAGCCAAGTTTAGGTATTTAGTGCTAAATATACAAAATGAATGTCTGAAAGTGACAAATAGATCAACTTCCGTTGCCATTAAAACCTGTCTGAAGTAATTACTGACATGCTCACGGTCTTCTACACAAAAGCCCTGGAGATCCAGATACGAAGAAGGCCTCTGGCTGAGTGAAGAGGTTTTTGTGCCCTGCACAGGCAGCAGTGGCAAGTTGTGGGGTTTGTCCTTGCGTTCAGATGTGCTTTGGTTCTCGGGAAGTCCCCGTGCCTTTGCGGGCTGCTGGAAGAGAAGTCCTGGTGGCACTGGTGTGGAGTTTGAGTCACGGCACAGAGCTGATTCTTGGCTTTTCTTTCAGAGTGAGCCTGGAGGTGAGGAGCGGCGGGAGCCTGGTGAGCATCCAGCTGCAGCGTGCTGGTTGCCAAGTGCACAGCAGCGGCATATGGGCAACCTTCTGGGCTCGTGTTCTCCCCAGGGAGAGCAGGAACTGGTTCTCTGGGATTCTCTGGGACTGACGTCCAAGCTCTTGCTGGGTGCAGGAGCGTGTCCCTGAGGGTGTTGGTGCTGCTAGTCAGCCTGTGCCAGTGGGTGTTGTGCAGTCAGAACGAGTCCCTTTGGCTAAGCCAACGAGTTTGCTCTTTTGGGTTTAATTGTCAGTTCTGCTGATTCTCAACATGCCAGCTTTAATTCCCATCACCCGTGTGCCTACTTGGCCCCTGACAGAGCCCTGAAAACAGATGGCTGATGCTTTCAGTCCAAACCTTCAGTCATCGTTTCTGAGCATCAGTTTATAGATATTCTGCCAGGATGGTTAGGAAAAAAAAAAAAAAAAAAAAAAAAGAGGGAAAATGTAACTGTGTCAGGCATTAAGGGTACGAGGGGGATGAGAAAATGCTGCCTAGTCAGACAGGGTCTGTTTGTGGTGACCAGGGTGATAGCATGCCTTCTCCTCCTCCTGCGGCCTTTGGGCTGGGGGAGTTTGGCTTCTTCATGCTGGGGCATGTTAGTTTAATCCTCAAACCTCCGTTGCTCTTGCAGATTCTCTGTTGCCGCAGGGTGTCCGTATCATCCCCGTGTTCCTAACAGAGGATGAAGTCTCGGTGCTCCGAGACTTCCCAGTGGAGTGGACGATGAGGTAGGAAATCTGATGCTCAGAGGCGCTTTTGCAGGCAGGGACCTCACGTGCTTGCTGGCCGTCATTCCTCTTTGCTCTTCTGCTGACCCAGACGCTGTTGTCTGGCTGTTAACACTACCTGAGGTCCTTCAGGCCGGGCAGAAGTTGTGGTGTCCCCGTCTCTGCTGTGACACAGCCTGAGCAGAGCTGCTTCCCCAGACCAGCTGCGACATTCCGTTGTTTCTTGGCTTGCAAGCGCTGCCTTGGTGCTTGGGGAGTGACACGGTGACATTCCCAGGAATCTGCTGCCCAAGAGCCTTGTGCTTTTCACCTCCGTTACACCTTAGCCCGTGCTTTTCCACACTGGGTGCTCTTTGTAGCAGAGAATAGATCAGCTGTTGAATGCTGCTGGGAGGCGACAGTGTTATTAGATATGTAATAACTCCAAACAGACCCCACTCAGTAGTTTAATCAACTTGTCATCTCCTGCTAGGTCATCCATGTCCCCAGCAAGCCCTAGAGGAGAGAAGAACACTCTCTGCTCCCAGGGGGGTTCAGAATCAACAGGAGACCTGGATAATCTCTCTGTGCAGGAGTCCCCTGAGCAAGCTTCAAGCACAGCTGCCCTAGAAGATGCTGTGCCATCAGGCAGCCTTGCCAACACGGGCCCTCTGAAGGGCTTCCCCCAAATGGAAACTGGTACAGAGAATTCTCCAGCTGCAGGACTGGGCAGCCCAGACAGCCAAAGCTCAGAGCTCGGTAGAAAAGCATCCTCCCTATCAGAGAGAGGCACAGAGCAGCCGCGCAGCCCTGCCACACTCCAGACTGCTGAATATGCTCAAACTCCAGGTCCCTATCGGGAAGGCTTTTCCTTTCCAAACCCTCACACCCCGGAGCAGGAGAGTCAGGGCATGGGGAAATCCCTGGTGGCCTCTGATCTTGAGCCACACAGTTCCCGAGGTTATGCAGCTGGTGGCAGTCCAGCTCTTTGCTCTCCTGCCCAGGAGCTGAGCAGAGGGAAGGCGAGTGAACCTGAGGAGCGAGGAACCCTGAGCCAAAACCACGTCTCTGGAGAGAGCACCGGTGCAGCTGGTGGCAGCGTGGAGGGTTTGGACTGCCCAGGCCCTGCCCTGGGGTCCGAGCACCGAAGCGGGAGGCAGCCGGCAGCAGTGGCAGCTGGGGGGAGCCCCCCTGGTGACCCAGCAGAGAGCACGGGGTGTCCCGGGAGTGGGGACAGCCCAGGAGCTGGAACTGATGTGGAGTCAGGGGAACGGTGCAGACCAGTGACGATGAGCTTGTACGTTCACTGCGTGAAGGGCCTGGTGCTCTGCCTGCTGGCTGACCATCGCCTCCAAGAGGAGCGGAGCTGCGTGGAGGACGTGGTAAGTGGGGAAGCTCTTCCAGCCCTGCAGACGCGCTCGCTGCTGCTCGTCTGCTGGTGGGTTCGGGGGTCAGGGCTGTTGGATCGCTGCTGCCATCTCCCCCCTCACCTGCTCGGCGTCGTGCGAGGCAAAGCTGTTTGGCTTGGGGCTCCTCACCGCAACCGGCGCTACGTGGGAGGTTGTTCACGCACGGCAGGCAGCAAGCCCGAGAGGTGAGAGCGTTGTCTCACAGGCAAGTCCTGTTGCCTGTTGTTGTCTGTCGGCGCCAGCGCTGGAGCAGAACGCGTAGGTGTGACCGTCAGACAGCCCCGCGGGCTGCCAAAGGCCTCTGCTGGATTGGGGATTTGCTGGGAAACCCCATCGGGTTTGGAGGGCTTTTTGCTGAAGCTCCACTTCACCTGTTGTAGTTTCTCGCTCTGGAAGCGCCAGAGAGACGTGTCTGGCGGCGAATCCCCGCGGGGTTCCCTTTCTCGGTGGAAGTGGGGCTGTGCGTGTCCCCAGCCCGCTCGCCCTGGCGCTGCTCTCGGGGGTGCAGGGGGCCATTCGGGTGCTGTGAAGAGGTGCTGTGCCGGAGCACCCCCGGGTTACTCCGCTGCAGGGTTCGGTCCAGCGCGCGGGCTGCTCTGCGGGCGGCGCGGGGCTGCGGGGGCAGGACGTGCCAGCCCCCCGTGAAGCGTTTGTCTGCGGAGCCGGAGCTGCTGCCTGGCCTCTGCTTCCCTCCCAGGGAGCTGAGTCAAAGCTGCAGAGGCCTGTTTGATATGCCAGTTGCCATAGGAACAACCTAATTTCTTTAACCGTCAGACTGGAAGGTGGAGGGAAGCTCAGCCTAGCGCTGGCTCCCCGCATCAGCACAGCCTCAAGGTTACTCCTTTTACTGCCGAGCTCTGGGACTCGGAGGCCGTGGCCCCAACGTAAGCAGGGGGATGCCACCTCCACGCAGCAGGTAGGGCTAGGCTGCAAATTTGGCACAGAATTGCTGCAAAATCAGCCGAGGCCGGGAGGTGCAGCTTTGGCCTTTGGCACCAGGCAGGGCACGACGCTCTGTCCCCTCTCTGCTCGTTTCGGACAGGCGGCGGCGCGACGGCTCTTCTCTGGTTGCGGGCAGAGAGGGCGATGCAGGCGGGTAGGAGCTGAAGGTCGTCCTCGTTGCACAGGCACCCTCAGCTTCTCTGGGTCTCCCCTGATCGTGTCTGGGCCGGCCAGGCTCTGCCCTGCTCACAGGCAGGGTGGTTCTTGGCAGCCCGAGCAGCACCTGCCGCTGGAACCGGCCTCTGCTCCGCTCCACGCCTGAGCTGCCCTGAGAAGCAGCGTCCCAGGGATGTAGCTGGCGTGGGAAGGGCCTTGCTGGGCCAGGGTTAGCTCTGCTGGGACACGCTGCCCGGCCTCCTCCCCTCAGACGCCTGGGCAGGGCCAGCAGTGGGCCCAGCCTGGCTCAGTTTGTCATTCAGTTCGTGAAGTCTCAAGATCAAGTGCCTGACGCTGGTGCTCTGCAGCTCAGTGGATTGGCCTTTGTGTGTTGGCCCAGGACTGACAAAACCCTGTTCCATCCAGGTGGTTCTTTTCCCAAACACTCTGCTTCCATCTCCTCTCCTCTTGCTTTGGATCTCAGAAACCGGTGCTTTCACACAGCGTGGGCTCTGGCTGTGGCCGGGCTCTCCCTCCAGGCGCAGGGGTGAGAGGCGCCGCGTGTCCCCCCCGGCCCAGGAGTGAGCGCGTTGCTGGAGGAGGCAGAGCCGGGCTCTGCTCTGGCGTCATGGTGGGTTTGAGGCGTAACCTCAGCTTCTCTGTTCCTTTGTTTATCTGTAGATTAAAAATGACCCTCAGCTCTCAGGGATGTCAAAGCTTAGTTATAATTAATGTTTGTCGAATGCTTTGAGGCCCCTGAATGACACCAAAGAAGGGTAAAATATGCTGCTTGTGCCACTGGCAACAGCCGGCAGCACCCATCGTCCCTCTGCGAGGGCGGTTTCCAGTACAGGCTTTCCCCGAGGAGCAGGAGCCTTTGGAGCCTTTCAGGCTCGCTTCCCCCTGCCTTCAGGTCTCATCCCACCGTTTCACTGCACAGAAAGGAAAATCTGTTCCCTGACCGGGGAGGGGGGTCAAGGGTAGGCCGGGCACTACCGTCCTGCTGAACAGAGCTTGATCCTCTCCGTGGCGGAGGAGAGCCCACGGCCAGGCTGGAGGATTGTGGAGTTGATCTTCCCAGCAGTGCCAGAGGGCCCTGAGCCTTACCTGCACCCTGCCTGCTGCCCGGGAGCCCCAGCACAGCCAGGGCAGTTGGGAAAGCAGCTTGGCTTTCACGTTAGCGCGCTGTGCTAGCCCATTGCTCTGTTACCCCACAGGTGAGGCTGTTTCCTCAGCTTTTCCTTTTTATTATGTTTTTTTTCTTTTTTTCCCCTTCTGGTGACAGCCCAGGGCCTGCAGCCTGCAGCTGGTTCCACACGGAGGTTGGGTGCCCGTTAGAAGGTTTACTCGTGTGGTGAGAGGGTGCTGCGGGAAGTGCTGCAGGCAGTTAAACCCAGCCCAAGCGGATAAAGCTGCGTCCTGGGTTGCTGTGTCTGTCTGGTCTAATAAGGGCTGGTAAGCAAAGGAGTAGTCCTTGCTGCAGCTGGAGGTCGCGGCCAGGATGTGAAAATGAGCCCTGGAGAGTAACATTTGATGGTAAATTAATGGAGTTGTGTATTTTCTTGTAATTAATAGCATCAGGTGGTTTAATGGCTAATTTTCAGGTTGGAATGGCCTTTTCTGAGTCCCCGCCTCGCTGACTTGTGAGCAGGGAGACTCCGGTGCTTTCCTCTGCGCCCGTTCCCCAGCCACTCCCAGCGGGAGTGTGGAAGGCTCCATCCCTCCATCATGGACGGGGGTCACCCGAGCTCCCTCGGGACCTCCTTGGAACTGGGTGAAGCAGGGCTGTTGCTCTAACACGTTTTCCCCCCCCCCCATCTGCAGTACCACAGCAGTCTGGCTTCTCTAAATGGCCTCGAGGTTCATCTGAGGGAGACTCTGCCCAGAGAATCCTCATCCTCAGCCAAGACAACCTACAGCTTCACCCACTACGACTGCGTTCAGAACGTGCTCACAGGTAAGCCTTCGTCTGTGGAACGGCAGCTGCTGCGGCGGAGGGACTGAGAAGGGTCAGGGTGACCTTTTCTCATGCTTCAGACAGCTCAGAAACACTGCTTGCTCTCGCTCCTGCCACGTAGCCTGCACGTAAGGCCCTGTTGAGGAAGCTTTGTCCTTTGTGAGTTTTTCTTCTGCTGAAGGCAGATCACTTTGGATGTGAGCTGGAGGCTGCGGGCAGCCAGAGCTTTGCTTGGAGTTATGTTGCCGGGGGGGTTCTGCGAAGAGGACAGGACTCAACATCCTCTTCAAACATGCCCTCCTCCCCCCGACTTCCCTCAGCCCCGCTGCGATCCCTTTTGTCCCACCATACTGCAGAGTGTTTGTCAGTCTTTTTTGGCGACGAGAAGCAGGAGCTGGAACAGGTAGTAGCCAGCAGTTGGGAGACTGCTGCCCTGGACTGATGAGCGGACCACTGCCACGCAGAGAGCCCTGAGCACGTTTTGCTCCGGCTCATCCAGATATTTCCCTTCTGGCAGCCTCACAGGCAGCGTCCCACCTCTCTCCAGCTCAGAAGTGTTTAGGGAAAGGGACAAACCCTGTTAACCCGGCCTCAGGCCGCCTTGTCGCCCCTCGGGTGTGTAGGGTGGGAGGGTGCCCTGGGCTGAGCCGCTGACTGACCTCACCGAGGTCACGCTGGGGCTTAGGGTGTCACCTGGTCTCTGGTGGGTGCCCAGGGTCTGTGGGAGAGGTCCACAGCCTTCTGCCCGGGACACGGCAGCACGCTCCTCTACAGAGCAGGCTTTTAACACACCCCTCTCGCTCCTGTTCTGCAGCCAACCTGCCCCAGACGCCCGGCCCTCTGGACCGACACTTCCTGAGGGCGGCTACGCTGATCCACTCCGACTTCAGCCAGCTGCCGACTGCCTCGGAGGTGATAATCAGGTAAGGTGTGCTCGTAAGTGCCTCCTCTCCCGGGCACGGGAGCGCTGTGTGGCACACGGAGTGGGCAGAAGCGGACATCCCCTTTGCAGAGGCCGGGCACACGTTGGCGTGTCACACGGGTCAGTCGTGTCGCTGTGTTCCCTCAGGTTTGCTCTTTAGACGTGGGCTGCTCGGCGTTCTGCCTGCGCAGTGATCTGCTGGCGAGAGGCAGCGTGTTCCGGGCTGGGGTGGCACCACAGGGTGAAGGCACAGCTGAGTTGTGCCACGGCTTTGGATTAAGATACAGCGTTAGAATATTGCCGGTTCCTGGCACCATAAGGTTCGAAGACACAGTTTTAAATATAGCTGTTCCTAATAAATTGGTGTCTCGGCTGGGAGCCAAAGGCACCCAGAATTGGCAACCTAGATTTTGTTTTCTTGCATGGCTTGCTGGGTTGGAAACAGGCTGTAACGTGCGTGGCAAACTCAATTGTAACGCGCCAGGCGCGATGGTCTTATCGCAGGCAGCGCCCGCCCGCAGAGCCCAGCAGATCCTGCCCCCCCGGGCGGGTCGTGGGGAGGTTGGGCGTTGTGAGCCTGCAGATGCTGCGTGTTTGTCCAAAACACGATGAGATAAAGACGCTTCTGGGAATTACGCTGTTTCACTTCTCTGACACAGCTTGCCAAGGGAATGTGAATCACACCCTTCAGTGCTGGAGAGCTCCTTGTTTAGCGTTACTTTGACTGGCTCCTTAAATCCTTCACCGGCCAAGCTGGCGGATTCTGTGTTGCCCCAAAAAAAGCAACTCCATGTGTGAATCAGACTGAGTAACAAGATGACTAAAACTGCTTTCTTTTACGGAGAGTTGTCACAGAAGGGTGTCAGCAAACATACCAGTTGCTGCTTTCCTCTGTCAGGGAGGATTGCAGAGTCCTTTGCTCCCTGCCAGCCTTCCTGCAGGTAAATGCCGAGTGCTGGGTTTTCACCAATGGCTTGAGCGGATGTTATCTGGCTGTTGTCAGCCCCATTTCCTTTGCTCTGCTGAGAGAGACCTACAACACCCTCTCAATGTCCAGGATCCCAGTGCCACTGGTGTCCCTGTGCCCAGCGCGGTGAGTCGAGGTGGATCTTGCACAGAGCTGTAAATCCTGACCGCTGCCCTCTCTCCTGCCCCTCCAGGAACGCCTCCACGGCCGTGTACGCCTGCAGGAACCCTGTCCAGGAAACCTACTTCCAGCAGCTGGGTGCTCCTCTCCGCAACTCGGGCGTCCCCAACCCTCATGACAGCGCGTTCAGCTTGCCGAGCAAAGCCAAGCAAAAGCTGCTGAAGCACGGAGTGAACCTGCTCTGACCGAGGCGCTGAGGCAGCGTGTCCCAGCCCGTGCTGAGTTAGTCCAGCTCCAGTGAGTAAAATCCCGAAGCTGTTTGTCCCGTAGGAGGCACAAGGCTCTGTGCCGTGTCGGTGGGGTCTCCCTCTGTGCCCTGAGGAAGAGGCACCCACTGCCCTGTCCCTGCAGCGCATCTTGTGCTCCTCGTCGTGTCCCGGGGTGCCCGTGCAGGGTATTGCTGACGTTAGCACTTACCAAAGACTGAAGAAGGACGGTAGCTGTGGTGGGACGCTGGGTTTACATGGACTCTAGGACTGTTCGTGGTGCTCTGCCCCCACAGGCAGAGACGCCCAGAGTGCCTTGACCTGAAGTAAAATCTCTCCTTGCTCCGAGCTGCGCGGACACCGGGCAGTACGGGCTTTGAGGTGTCAGTCAGGCCGCTCGCTGCCTACATCCGCCCTGCTCAGACTTGGGCTTTATTTATATCCCTTAATCTATAGCAGCGCTTCCCTGCCCTGACGTAACGCCTTACCTTGATTAGCAGAGCCTGCATGTTCTCAAACTGGAACAGAACAAGTGCTGCAGAGCTCAGAATCCTCCTACAGGCGCTGCCAGGGGGTTTGAGCCTGTAGCTGAGGGATCCTCGTCCCTCCACGCCCGCTCGGCGACTGCGGCCCAGCGCCGCCTCCCCCCTGCCCACCAGCGCCGCCGTAACCTGCCGGCCCCTCGGCACCGTGGTGGTAGGGAGGCACTACATCTCCTGCCTGCTTCCTCCTCCTCCTCCTCCTGTTTCACCTCCTTGCTCTTGCTGCTCAATTTGTCTACACTCTGTTGACAGCAAAGCCGAGGGGCAGCCCCTGAAGCTAACGGGACCAAAGAGGTTTGTAGCTCCTCGGCAGCTGTTGCCTTTCTGCTCGATGGTGGGTCTGTGATCTGTGATTCTGTCCCCTCCCAGCGCCTGGTGGGGGGGTCGGTGGTGATGGCTACTTAAACCTGAGCAGTGGCTACCTGCATCTGCCTGGGCTGTGTGGGTTGGAGCCTGCTGCTGTTACGCGCACACGTGGCCACAACTGTGAAAATAAAACTCTCCAAGACTCATCCACACTCTGTGTCAGCAGCCGGAGTCCTACTCACTGCTTGGTCGTTGTGTTTGTGACTCCCGGTGTGAGGGGTTGGGGTTGGGTGACCGAGAGCCCTCGGTGGCTCCGTGCCGAGGGCGAGTTCCTGCACTGCTGGGGTTGAACAGGCAGGGCCTGGGGCTTCGGTCACTCCTGCAGAGCAGCTAGAGGGCTGCTGCGGGGCGGTGTGTTGCTGCTGCAGGGTGAGATGGCGAGCGGGCTCGTGTGGGTGTTAGCAGGGTCCCCCTGGGAGCGGGGCACCATCAAGTCGCTGTCGTCACGCCGCCCCGACAGCAGACAGTTCCCCGGGTGCCTCTGCCATCACAGGGCTCCTGCCTGGGGCGTTCGGTGGCCTCCGGAGGAGGATCCAGCTGCCTGCTCGGCGTGGCCGGGCAGGGGTTGGTGCCTGGCTCCCAGCTCCGGCTGCCGGGGAGGTGTTTGGGCAGCGGGAGAGCTCTGTGGTGCGGCTCCCCGCTGCTGCCGCCGCCTCCTCCCGGGGTCTGTGGCCACGGAGCTGCTCCACACCCACCTAACAGCAGCGTGGATGTGGAACCTCGTTGTAGCCCGAGCTACAGCCCTCCAGGAGACCTCCTGCCCCGGCCCTGCCCGGTGAGACAGCAGGGTGTGGAGAGGGATGAGGTGGTGGGAGGAGGCAGGAGGAAAAGGCGGGTGTGTGCTCCAGCCCTCGCCACGCTCTGGGCTCTGACAGGCCGAGCCAAGAGCCTCCCTCTGTTCGGTGCTGCTCTGTCTCCTCTCTGCAGCCCCGATCCGGGTTCCCTCCAGGAGCAGCCGCGAAACGCAGGCAGGGCTGCCAGGCACCTCCCGGCTGCTCCGCTCCCCCGAGGGAGATCCTGCCGTCTCCTCGCTGGGTGTTTTGGGAGGTGGTTGTGTGCTCTATCTGGAAACACTAAGGAGTTGAAGGAAAAGCCTGAGAGGGACGGGAGGGAGTTTTGGCACAGCAGCAAAGCACGAAATAGATGCTTTAGCCTGCTGTCGTCAGGAATCTTCCGCTACAATCTGCTGTGCCGTCTGTCGGCGGTGGAACAGCTGGGGCGGCTTCGCTCCCGTTTGCTTCTTGAACTGCATCTGGCCACCAAGGCCTCGCTCTGTCCTCTGATCGTTAAGAGGAAAGATGTCTTGTGGTGGTACAGCGACGAGCTCCAGGCCCTTGACTCAACGCTTGCGTCAGTGTTTAAAAACGGGTCATTTCAAGCACGACAGGATGAGGAGCAGCTGCTGCTCTGGCCGGGTCCTGTCTGGGCGAGGGGCAGTGCTGCTGGGGGGGCCGGCGGCTTTGCACGGGACTATTTCTCGCCTTGCCGAGCTGGCCCCGTGCTCAGGGCGACTCTGGGCACCAGCTTTTGTGCAGGACTGAAGTGGCAGCCCAGCACCCTCCTCCCGAGAGCAGCTCCCAAAGGAGCTGCCGGCGGCCCTCCGTGCGGGCAGCTGGAGCATTTGCCAAACTGGTTGGTTTGAGGACTTGGGGGCAGGCTGGTGGCCTCGCTGCGGAGCCTGGGGGCAGGCCGGGTGGCCGGAGATGCAAAGCAGATACTCCCTGTGCTCCTCAGCGCGTGGGCTGCGGGTGAGATCCGGGCCCGGGAGGCAGGAGCTGGTCAGAAGTGCCCTGGGACCGGGTGTTTCACAGCGCTTCCCTCGCCCAGCAGAGTCAGGGCGGGCCCATCCCCTCCTCCCACCCTGCAGGTCCCCCTTTCCCAGCGTTTCTCCCCAGCAGCAGCTGGGCTCAGCAGGACCCAACCCCTCGGTGGTTTCCTCGAGCCTGGACTAGTTAGAGCAGGAGGCAGAGCCGTTCTGTTTTCAGCACAACTGTTTATTGATAATCTTTGCTTATCCACTGTATGAATGTTACCAAACCGTAAGACAGTTACCAAGCCAGCCTGCTCCCTCAGGGTCGGCTTCCAGATACTCGATGCGTGTAGAAATCATGCACTTCGGATATTCTGTAACAAGACAGGTGTAAAAAATATCTCGGATGTATTTGAAATCTCTGCCTGATCTTGCAATCTAATCACTGAAAAATCTGTAGAGAAGTCGGAGGGGAGCAGGGTTGCGTTCCCCCCTCCCCGGGCAGGGCTCCCCCGGCGTGGCCGGGGGCGCAGGGGCAGCGCTGAGCACCCAGGACATGCTGTGCTTCACACCTAGCACGTTACAAACCCGAGGGCAGCTCCGCACCCCCGAACAAACCCCGGACGCTGGGGCCGTTTCAGAAGCGTGTTGCTTGCTGGGCGGGCAGGAGGGCTGCAGGATTAACCCCCCCCCAGCCTTTGGAGACCTTTCCCCTGCTGTCAGGGACACGTGAGCCGCCTTGCTGGGTGCTTGCCCTGGCGCGGGGGAAGGAGAAGGTGGAGCAGCAGGCAGCTGCCCTCCTTTCTTCCCCAAAGCCCTGCTCTGCCTTCCCAAAGAGCGTCCCTGCCCCTGCGGGGGCTTCCCAGCTTGCGCTGTCAAAACTGCAGGTTGCGGGTAAAGCAGGGAGGAGATTCGGGCAATTGATAACGTCCTCGGTCAGATTAAAGAGCAGGACTCGACGGGTTTGCTGCCTCGTGGGGCTGGGGCCCCTGCAGCTGCAAGGGCAGCCGGGGAGCGGGGTCTTCTCCCTGCCTGGGGGGTAAAAAGGTTTCTCGAGGCTGGGGAGCTGTGGGCATGCGAGGGGGGAAGCAGGAGCCCCTGGGCTTGTGGTGCAAGAGCTCTCTGTGTGTGCAGAGCGTGGCCTTGCCTGCACCCCCCTGCCTGCCCCAGCCCGGGGGG